TATGGCAAAGCAATGGCAAATTTATTAGAAATTTACCCCGACCTTTGCCTGCATAGGCAAATGTATGGGCAAATATAGAGCACCATATTTGCCCAACATTTGCCAAGCGGACATATGATGACCAAATCCATTATTTCGTCGAGTGTTAGAGTCTAGTATGAGGTACGACTTTTATATAGTGTTCCTTCAATGGCTTGGCGAGTAGGAGTCCCCGGCAGAGCTTCTTGTTGGCGAGTTTTCCGAGGAAGCCGAATGATTGTCTTTGATAACAGAATTTCTCTCCCTTGAGATAGGCAGAGAACTCATGGACATCAGCGCAGCTGTTGCAGAACGAACTCTCTGAGAATCTGCAATCTCTTCAAGTGATGGCTTGCGTTCTTGAGTTAGAGGGACTTTTTGTTCTGCAGATGGCGATCTAGCGTCCGGGGAACCGCGAGAAGGTCGTCTAGATGATAGCTCTCTTGCTGAGAGCTCACACATTTGAGCCGGGCTAAGATGTACAGGTCCTATTCCTGGGTAGAACACGCAGGTTGGACATTTTATACCAGCGCAAGGCTGTGATGGGCGACATTCGGAAGGACTTAGAGGCATAGCTTGACGCGCTGCTGCAAGCGCATATGGTGAAAACGCTGACAAACCATTACTGAGGGCGCTTGTTTGTGTCTGATAGATAGTTGGTAGGCCAGAGGGAGGACCGCGAGCTCTAGCTTCTTCGTGGCTTGGTAGAACACATTCAATAGTTTGAACAATATCTCCTCCACATCCTTTTAGAATTAACTCTAAAACATTTTGCTTCTGTTCTGGAAATAACCGCATCAGGATACTCAAATATCGTATATGCTCCGATCTACGAGCCTCCTCTCCTTCGTAGCTGCTGTAYGCTAAATTTATGCTTCTACTTCGCATTCTTTTGCCGTCAGGGCCGTCCTGTTCACCGTTGGCGAGGCATTCCTCATCCTCGGAACGTTGGCGTTTCCATTTGCGTTCGTAGTTGTTATCCATTGTCGTTTCTGTAAAGTAAAAAATAATAATAATTAAAACTAAATAGAAAAAACCTTGCAAAACCCTTTCTTTTCTATTGTTGTCGTAGACTAAGAAGGCAAAGCGTCAAAAGTCTAACGGAAAATTATTAAAACGACTTAAGATATTTATGAGCTAAGCTTAGAAAGTAGTTATAAGAGAGGTGTTGCTATTCAAAAATTTTCAAATTAGTTTCATAGCAGCATCAACAATACACTAACATGTCAATAACATGTTATCATATTGAGTTTTCCTAATCAATTATTTAGGCGTTAACTGAAAACGTTTCTCATACTTCCTTAATGCTATGGCATATTTGCCATTCAAAATAAACCTATGTAATTCTTTTTAAATTTTTATTTTTTTCCATTGCGAAAAGCTTACAAAAAGACCCAGAATATTCTGTAAATGTTAGGAATTACTAAGATTACTCAGATTAATCGGGAAGTTTTCCAGTTTACAGAAGGAAAAAAAACCAGAATATTCTGTGCATGTCTCGTCTATGATCTAGGCTATGCTAAAGAATTGTCTAGTTCTAAAACTATTAAAGTCTACAAGTCTAGTTGTTATATTAAAAAGTTAACGCGCGATCGATTCTCTTCCTTTGCTTAATTTCAGCATCGAAAGCGGCGTTTAGAGGTACACGGAAAACTGCCGAGTAAACTCAAGCAGTATGAGTTACACAGTGAAGTGTTAATCTGGCCTAACAGATTATTCTCTTATTTAAACCTAAAAAGGCGAGTGAATATAACTAAATCAAGTAAACTATCATGATAAAAAACTTTTTGCGAGCTTTTCAAGTGTAAAATTGAAGAAAAAAGTCGCCACAAAAACATGAATGAAACGAAATCCACTTATGTCTTTTTTTTCAGATTCATATTTTCACTTTTTTTGACGGAAATTTAACCTTAGATACTGATGTTGCTCAAACTATTAGACCTATAAACGCTTATTCAAATTGCCTAAGAAAGAATCATTTATTGTAATATTTCTGTTTCTTTTATTCGACGCATATGTATAAGAATACTGACCTTATCGTATGGTGATTTTAAGTCTTTCAAGACAAATCCAAGTGAAGAAGCAACCTTTTTATGAGCGTTGTTGATAGTTTCCGTGACAGTGCATCTGTGTTCATACAGCAAGAGTCACGTCTAATTGAATTGTACTTAATATGTAAATACAAGGATTATCGATGTCTGGTCTCCATTGAACGTGAAATTATTAATCCGTAAGTGTAAACTATATCTTATTTTATTGAATATTTAAGAGTAAATATTCGTTCTAGACTGGAATTTAGCTTGTCATTCGTGGAAAAATTGTCGTTCGGAAGTGGTTTTTTGCCAATTATTAGGACAGCTTCCGAAATCAAGTGCATGATTATAACTACAGTACTGAACAACACGTACTGACTATTGTATGGCTGCTCAAGTGCAGCGTAGATAAAATGAAGGTCGTCTAACGGAAGAAGGAGTAGACCTCACACGTTCATGATTTAGCTCCGATAAAGAACTTTGCAAACACTTCGATTTCCTTCCTACCTTCCTTGCGTCAATTTTTTATCGTTTTCTTTTGTCTTTCTTGGCTTTCTTTCTTTTTTTTTTTTTTTTTTT